CCCCAAAACCCCAAAACCCCAAAACCCCAAAACCCCAAAACCCCAAAACCCCTTTATCAAATTCAAAATTTGATTAATATAATAGAATATTTGTTAATGATTAGCCTTCTCTTTTTCTTGGAGCACATCTGACGATTTCGTCGACTCTAAGAATCATTTCAGCTGCCTCGGAAGCAGAATGAAGAGCTTGCTCTTTGACTCTGTAGCATTCATTGATTCCCTCTGTTTTCATGTTTGATACTTCACCATCAACCATATTGAGTCCTGCAGTAGTGTTTCCACTGGCTATTTCACTTCTCAAGTTTTGGACAATTTCTGCGCTATCAAATCCAGCATTATCACACATAATAGTTGGAAGTGCTCTCAAAGCTCTAGCAAAAGCCTCAATAGCAAGAGCTTGCTTTCCTTTAGTTGTTTTAGCAATTTCATCAACAGCGAGTGCCATACTGATCTCTGAGTTTCCTCCTCCATAGACAACATTACGGTTGATAACTGTCTGAGTGAGTACTCAGAGAGCATCATGCAATGATCTCTCTGCTTCGTCAAGAACATGAGCACCAGATCCTCTTAGAACAACAGAGCAAGCTTTACCTCCGCAGCCTGAGAACTTAATGACCTTGTCTTCTCCAATCATCATCTCTTCTACTAATTCACATTGACCGAGAGAAGCGTCTTCTGGGTTGTCAAAAGTGGAGAGGATGTCTGCTCCAAGAACTGAGGAAAGTCTCTCAGTTCCATCAAAGTCAGCATGCTCAATGACCATAACTCCTTCGTCAGCCATCAATTGCTCTGGGTAATTGTAGATCAGCTGTCTGTTGATGAAGATGTCTGGCTTGTGAGCGAGAATCTTCTCAACCTTCTTCTTCATCTTTCCTTTCTCAGCTTCTTCAATTTCCGCTACTTTCTGCATGGAGTCAGTCCTGACTTTTGATCCGAAGATTTTAATTTTATCGTGGTCCATTGGAGTATTGGCAATCAAAATTTTGGGGTTTTCCAACCTCTTTGGACAACCAGTTGAGATAGTTTTCTCAAGAATGAATCCTTCAGCAAGGAAGGAGTCCTTCATGGTGCCACCAGCCTTTTTGATGATTTTAATATAGTCCAAATTATTAACTCCCTTTAATCTGAGAACTGCATCTACTGCTAATTGAGCGAAATGCTCTCTGTCATCAGTCAAGAGCTTGGAAGAGAGCGTTGTTCTAGCAATGTTAAGGAGATCTTCTCTGAATGATTCATCATCTTCATGGCTCCAAGAGATTTCCTTGAGTTTAGTAAGAGCAGCATCCTTAGCAAGCCTCCATCCAGCAATAATAGTTTGAGGATGGATTCTCATTTGGGTCAATTTCTCGGCTTCTCTGAGTAACTCTCCTGCAAACACAGCAACAGTGGTGGTTCCATCACCTACTTCTTCATCCTGAGTTTTAGAAATATCAATAAGAATTCTAGCGGCTGGGTTATCAACCATGATACTCTTCAAAATGGTTGCTCCATCATTTGTCACAGTAATAATGTGGCGCTTGTTTTCATCGGTTGATTGTAAAATCTTGTCCATTCCTTTTGGACCAAGGGTTGTCTTGACAATGTCTGCAACTGCAATAGCTCCTACGAAAGATTGCATTCTAGCAAACTCATCTTTGTCGTCAGAGGCTTCAGCCTTGAGGACATTTGGGAGAATATTGCCAACGGCATCCATACTTCCTGCCATCTTGATTTGGATATTAAAGTTTGAATTATTATCAATATTTTCCCTGATAGGGGTTTTGGGGTTTTGGGGTTTTGGGGTTTTGGGGTTTTGGGG